TTTCATTGATCTATTATACCGGAACTATATTATTTTAATTATTACAAATTTTGATGTATTTTTTTTAAGATTTTATTTTAGTTTATTAAAATGTTTTTTCATGTCTATTTTTGAGAGAGGCAGAGCGAGAGGGAGACACAGAATCCAAAGCAGGCTCCAGGCTCTGAGCTGTCAGCACAGAGCCTGACCCGGGGCTCGAACTCACAAACCTCGAGATCATGACGTGAGCTGAAGTTGGATGCTCAACCAGCTGAGCCACCCAGGTGCCCCTTAGATTTTATTTTTAAGTAATCTCTACACCCAATGTGGGGTTCGAAGTCACAACCCCAAGATCAAGAGTCACATGCTCTACAGACTGAGCCAGCCAGATGCCCCAATTTTGATACATTTTTAAACTTACAATTTTGAAGTTATAAACTCACAGAAAGTTCCGAAAGTACAGATAAGTCCCATATACCTTTCACCCAGTTTCCTCCAATGGTAACATCTTACGTAATTACAGTACAATGGCAACACCAAGATGTTGATTTTGGCACAGTTTGTGTTCTGTGCCATTTTATCCCATGTGACCACCACTAAGATCAAGATCACTAAGATCCAGATACACCACAAAGACCTCCTCTTTGCTATACCTCTATAGCCACACCTTTCTCCCCTCCCCCCAACCTTCCCATCCCCCTGCCATCCTTAATGACTCTGGCAATCACTGGTCTATTTTCACATTTCTATAATTTTGTCATTTGGAGATTATATAAATGGAATCCTACAGCATGTGATCTTTTGAAATTGGCTTTTTTTCATTCAGGATATTTGAAATAGCTGACTTATTGCAAATAGGCACACTCTACCTTCAAAAAATTATGGACATATTCAGACACACATGAAAATAATAGTATAACGATACCCATATATGCATCACCCAGAGTCAATGTTTTGTCCCTTTGTTTTGTCTATCTTCCTCAGTGTTTTTCCTGAGTACTGTCAAGCAAATCTCAGACATATAATTTTACCCATAGTTAATGCAATATGTTTATTAAATAGGGATTATTTTTAGCATAAGCACAATAACCTTGTCACATCTAAGAAAACCATTATTAATAACTAATATTCAATTTGGTATCTCAAGAATGACTTAGCCCAGGCCGACACTGTATTTGGTTCCTAGGTCCCTCAAGTGTCCTTGCACAGTCCTCTCTGCCATGGACTGAATGTTTGGGTCCCCCCGGAAGTCAGGAAGTCGAGTGTGAAAGGCCTAATCCGCAGCGGGATGAAATGTGGAGGTGGGGCTTTGGGGAAGTGATTAGGTTGAGACGAGGTCATGAGGGTAGAGCCCCCACGATGGGATCCGTGCCCTTACAGGAGGAGGAGGAAGAGACCACAACCCTCTCTCCCCAGCCATGTGAAGACACAGCAATCTGGGGCACCTGGGTGGTTCAGTCATTTAAGCATCCAACTTCACCTCAGGTCCTGATCTCAGGGTTTGTGAGTTCGAGCCTGGCATAGGGCTCTGTGCTGACAGCTCAGAGCCTGGAGCCTGCTTAGGATTCTGTGTCTCCCTCTCTCTCTCTGCCCCTCCCCCACTTGTGCTCTCTCTCTCTTAAAAATAAATAAAATGTTGAAAAAAAAAGTCTTTACAGGCAAAATGTATCTGTTTATCCCCCTTGCAAAAAAAAAAAAAAAAAAAGACGACGACAGCAATTTGATGGCTGTTTGCAGGCCAAGGAGGGGTCCTCACAGGAATCGAATCAGATTGTTGGGACTCCTCGGCCTCTAGAATTAGGACGAATAAATGTCTGTTGTTGAAGCTACACAGTCTATGGCATTTTATTACAGCAGCCAGAGTAGACCTTTTTTCCATGTCATTTATTTGCAGAAAAATCAGGGTCATTTTTTTTCCACTAGAATTTCCAGCATTTTGGAACTGGCCGATTGCACATTTTTGTGGCGTGTTAATGTGTGGTATAACGTGTGTATGTGGGTTTCTTAAGGCAAAGTTGTAAGTATCTACAGAAGTAGCAAGACAACAAACCCATCCCACAGCTGCCACAGGTCAAGCGCAAGGTCAGACTCCACCTCCGCCCCAGCGCTTACCCTCCATTCTAGTTACCGCTGCTACATGACAACTTACCCCAACCCGTAGCAGCTTGACACAACCGTTTTATTTTCTCACAATTTTAAGGGTCGGGAATTCAGGACAGGTTTGACCGGGCAGCTATCGCTTATGGTCCCCAGGTGGCTACAGTTGGATGCTGTCTGGGGCTGTGGTCTCTGAAGGCTCCGCTGGGCTGGACGTGCAAGACGGCGGCCCCCAGGGCTGGTCACTGATGCTACTGCTACGTGGTGTCTGGTGGTTCGGCCGGGGAGACCCCTAGGCAGGGGGCCAGAATCACCTGAAGGTTTATTCAGTCGCAAGTCTGGCCCTTAGGCTGGAAGGGCTTAGAGACCAGGGCCGCGAGGCCTCCCCAGGGGGCTGGGCTCCTTCCCGGCGGGGTGTGGGGGCTCAGGGTTCCAGGCGCCGGTCTGCGTTCCCGAGAGCAAGGCGGGACGGCGTCGCCTTTCCCGGCCCAGCCTCACAAACCACTTTTCTCCACCTTCTATTGGTTACAAGAGAATGTCAAGCTGGCAGAGATTTAAGGAGAGGCTACAGGCCCCGCCCAGGTGGGAGGGGCATCAAGGTCACACGGCAGAACCGGAGGCAGAGCAGGGGCTGCGGCTGCCTTTGGAAAATGTCCTCAGCCGCACCACTCTCTTTCCACTTCGCAGCAAATCTCAGACACCGTCTCCGTCAGTCACATCGATTGATACTTCAGTACTTTGGGTGCAGCTCTGAGAGACAAGGACTGGTGTGTATTCCGTGCGTTTTGAAGCATAATTCACACGAGATAAAATGCCCAGTCCTTAACTGCACAGCTGGATTCGTTTTCACAATTGTATGCACCTGTGTGATCACCCCCACGAGAGGCAGAACTTTCTACCACCATGCAGCATCCCCACAGGCTCCCTTCCAGTCAGCTAGCCTCTCCCTCCCTCATTCCTACCCCAGAAAGAACTTTCTGGTTTTTATCCCATAGTAGTAAGACCTACTTTTATTATTTATGTGATACACAGCATTTTCGACTCGTTAGGACTCTCCATGGCTCTCAGGCTTTTGTAGTATTAGGTTAGTTGAAGGAAACTTCGACTCCCAAGGCCCTACTTTTTCCAAATCTAATAGGGAAATTCTTCAGCTTTACAGCACAAATGTGAGAGAGAAGCTGCTCATGCCCTAGTTTAAATGTTCCACCTGGCAGACCAGGTGTCTGCAGTTCTGATCGCCGGATCCTGCTCTCTGCAAGGTGACCAAGACCCGCTGCGTCCGCCTTATTGAACGCAGCCTTTTCTGGGTTTACTTGATCTCTTTGCAACATTTAATGCTGTTGACCAAATTACCTTCTTTCTTTTCTAACAGCTTTGTTGCGGTATAATTTACATACCATAAAATTCACCATTCAGTGATACCATTGAATACCACCATTCAGCATACCATTCAGTGATTTTTCGTAAACTTTCAGTGTTGGTCACCCATCGTTCCGGTATTGAGAACATTTCTGTCACCTTCAAAAGACCCCTTGTTCCCATTTATGGCTGATCCCTGCTCCCACCCTTAGTCCAGGCTTCCCTTTATATAAATTTGCCTTTCCTGGACACTTCACATAAATAGAATAACGATACATGTGGTCTCTTACATTTGGCCTCTTTCAGTGGACTATCAGGATTTGGGGACTCCCTCACGGGCACGATGTCAGTAGCTTGTTCCCCGTCACTGCTGAGATGCCGCCTTAGATGGAGAAACCACACTCTTCGCCTTCTCTCTTGAAACCCCACCTTCACTCTCGCTCTCTGACCTTGCCCCTCTATATCCACCGTCTCTCTACCCTCTGAAAGGAGGGTGTGACAGACACTAGGTGCCTCTCCAGCCGACACCCACCTGCCCACACCTGCCTGTACTGGCAGAAGTTCAGCCCCAGAACTTTCACATCTGAGCCTATCCTGGTGATGCTGGGCAGGTGAGACCCTCCAAGGGAAGGTTCTTTCACGGAGAATGGCCTCTCGTGAACGAGACAGCAGTCCGGTCTGCACGTGACGCCAAGGGCCATCCAGCTCTCTGACAACACTGAGGGTGGCAAAAGCGTAGACCCAAACAGTCCTTGATGCCATGGCATGCTGCTGAGCAAGCCACCGTGAGTGCCCTCTTGTGACCCTTCATTTGGGAGGTGTTGAACCCCTCAGCAGTACAGCCGCACCTTGTTAGCTGCTCTGTGACTTGCAGCCAGAAGGCTCCTGACCGACCGGCAGCGTTCTTCAAACCTCCTCCCCAGGACGCTGGCCCTTCCTGCAGTCTTCCACTCAGGCAAGGGTTCATACAGCAGGATCTGGAGTCCGGGCCTTGCTCCCAAGCCCAGCACCCTCATTTCAAACGGCTTCCTGCCCTTGACCTCACAGGTGCCTTAATCGGAGCCCACCCGTGCTCACCAGGCCAGCATCGTCTGACCTACCAACCATTCATTCCTAGGTCAGTGATGCCCCACGTCCCCTCCAACAGCAGGGTCTGTGGGTCCTACCTCCCGCATCCTTTCAGAATTCCTACTGCCAATACCTCATTAGTTCCTACTCCGTTGCTGCCACAGGCCTATGACAGGTCCCCTCACTGCCCCCGAGTAGCCTCTATTCTGGAGAAAGACTTCTCCAAGGCACAAACCCCATCACACCTGCCTTGTTTTAGTAATTTAACAGTTGCGTTTCCATAATGCACATGATAAAATTGATGAAAGGCTTCATATTCTGGCTGCTTCTGCGGCCTCATCCCCCACCCACCCCCACCTGCAAAGGTCTGGCCACACTGGGCTGCCAACAAAGTGAATACATTCACCAAACTGACCTCTCTGTCCCACCGACGTCCTAGTTCCTCTGATCCCTGTGCCCCGGGTTGAGTTCCCACATCCCTTCTTACAGGACTCCCAGGTCCTGTTCCAGTCTGCGGAATGTTGAGGGAGCAACAGTCCTGCCCAAAGACACTCGGCCCTCGGGAACGGTGGGTCTGCCTTGCAGCCAGACGCTGCGAAGTCCCTCTGGACTCTGCTATGCATCTACCACCTGGAAAGTTACCCAAACCTTTATCCAACTGCTGTTTTCCGCCGACAATTCTGGATATTTACCTCCTACATAAAGGGCCTAAAACCCTTCCCTCACTAGGGCATGCCCCCTGCCACTGGTATCCCACCACTCAGGCTCCTTTCTACACCACCCCCACGTTCCCCGGCCTCAGGTTCTGTCCCCTCCTGGGCGTGCCTTACCTTCGACTTCAGATGAAGGCCACTGTCGCTTGGCTGCCCCTCTCTTTCCATGGAGGCTCTCTGCAGGCTTAGTGTCCGGAGGCTTCTCAGACTCTTGAGAATGCCTGCCCGTCGGCCTTTCCTTGGCCTTGGGAACTGAATAGACGCGCCCCTTTTGCTCCTCACCTGAAGCACACGGACAATTAGTCCTACAGTTTACTGGATCCCAATCCTTCAGTTGGCTGCTTTGGCCCACAATGAAACAAGGACGCTCGCAAGCCTTGGGTCCCTCCGTCTCTCTGAACGTGGGTGTTTCCGTGGGTGAAAAGACTCCCGAGGCACAGTCCTCCCCAGGGAGGACTCAGGCGCCTCACTCAGGAGTGAGGAGCGGGGGCGGGTGGGGCGCCCAGCACCCCCAGCCCCCGGCGTGGGCGGACCCCGCCGAGCGCCCGTGTCGCCCCGCCAGCCCTGCGCGAACCGCGGCCGCGGGGCCTATGAGACGACGGGCCGACGGCCCTTTACCTTTCCTAGGTTTGTGTTTGCTTTTGCAAAGTCCCATAGGTGAGCCCACCGCTCCCCGGCGCAGCCCCGCACTCCGTACCTCCGCTGGCGCGCCGCGGGAGTGACTCACAGACGCCAACCCGGCCGACCTGCGCGGGTCTCCACGGCAACGGCCCGCCCCGCCCCGCCCGCGGGACTTGCGTCGTGGTCTCGCGAGAGCTGCCGGTCGCCGGAAGTGGGCGGTGACCCCGGAAGTTCCCGCGCGACGGAGCTGTTTGGTGCGATCGACTCGGCCCCGGGGTTCCCGTCAGTCGGTTCCTGCGAGGGCTGCCCCTGCCGGACCTGCCATGGACGGTAAGAGACCCCGCCCACCGGGGGAGGGCGGGGCTCAGCCGGGCTCCCCCAGGCCTCAATCTCGGACAGCCATCTCCGATCCCTGGGCCTAGACCCTAGACCCCGATACCCGACCAGGGATTTGGATCTCCGGCCCTGTACCCCGCTCCTCGATCCCCGGAGCTTCGAGCCCAGAACCCGATAAGGATCCTCAACCCCACACCCTGCCCCCCTGCCCCCAGACTCCTCAGCGTCCGCCTCCCAACCCCCCAGCTCCTATACCGGCTAGGGACATCGGCCTCCTTGGGGTCCTGGGATGTCAGGTCAGAGGGCACCAGAAAAGGAGACAGTTGCACCACTGCCCCCAAAACACCACTAAGAAAAATAGGAAGAGCTCAGGCAAAAAGCACTTACTGTGGGCCAGGCACGGTTGTGCATGTGGCCTACTGCACAACAGCTCTTGAGATAGGAACTTTATGCCCCAATCCTGCAGATGCGGAAACAGAGGTAGTCATCTAGCTCCCTCTGGTCTTGTCCTCCACTGTCTGCAGCACTCACTCCGCCCCGTCCGTGCTCGGGGACACTAAAGAACAGGAAGAATCAGTGGTAAAGTGAGGTACATACATTTGCTAGAACGTTTAGGGGCTGGTGTGATAGGTATCAAAACTCACTTTGTGAAACGTAAAAAAACTGTACAACCGTGTCGTTGTCACAAAGGAAGTTCTACGGCGGTTGCTTCAGCACCACACACCCAGCACTCCCATCACCACAAATGTTGGGTTTTGCCCCATAGTTTACCCAGTTCTTGGGGGAACTTTCTTTTGGCCGTTTAGCTTTTTTCCTGGGTTAGGTTTTGCCTTAACAGCTGTTTGCTCTCCAGAGCCCGTTCCTGCTCCTCACGTGTGAAGAGAAGGAGGCAGGGAGCCAGGGTCACACCGTAAAGTAGAGAGTTGGAGAGCCTGCCAGGAGTGTCCCTTAGCTCTGATTTACAGATTCACAGGCTGCTTTGGCCTTGACCAGGGCCTGCACTGATAGGTGGCAGATGCACGGGGCTACCTGAAACCCCACTGGGTTCTCAGTGGGGGGCGGGGGGTGCTTGCTTTGCATTTGTGAACACTCAACACCCTCCTGGTTGCAGGATTTCCTTCCTGCATTCTGGGCTAGTGCAGCAAACCCTTTCAGACGTCATTCTCCAAATCTAGAAATTGAATAAATAGAGTTTCCACGTGAATCTGGACTGTCTGGTCCTTGAGTTTGGGTGTGTGAGTAGCAAGAGTGAGCTGTCAGTACTCCCACGTCTCTTTGGTTCCTCTGTGTCGGGAGGGAGGCTCCTGAGCCTGAGTTGATGGCCCAGGTATGCCAGCTGCCATGGAGGGTGGTCTCTGTAGGTCAGCTCTCTGATAGCATAAGAGTCTTCATTCTACTTTTTTTATCCATTTACTTTTGGGGAGAAAGTGTCTATAAAATATCCTCCAGTACCGAGTTTTATTAGATTGGGAAAGAATCCCAAAGGTCTTTGTAAAGTTGCATTAATTACAAACGACTCCTTGGCTTTTCACTGAGGGCCACGTGCTGCGTCCATGACCTCATTGGCCTGCACACTGATCCTTGAGGCCAGCCGGTGCCATCCTGGTGTTCTCTGGAAGGAGTCACAGGTTAGGGAAACTGTGTTTGTCCAAGCCCTCTGGCCAGCAGGGGAACAGAGGTAGCACACGGTCCAGCTTCTGCCTCCAGTGTGGGCTGGGCTTCCAGCAAGGCCCCATCCATGCCTGCGTCCTGATCCGGCTCTTTGTGTCCAGGAGGGTCTTAGCGGCCCCCTCTGGTTGTTAGAAGTGCCCCCTTGTCTTAGCTGGAATCCTCAGACCATCTCCTTTTTTTGCAGATACCCTGTTCCAGTTGAAGGTATGTACCAAATGACCTTTCACCCCAACCCTGTCCTGGTGGTTGGCAGATGAGGTCAGATGCTGGCAGTCGCAGTCAGAAGCACAGATTTCTGCACGGTGCTAACCCAGACTGATGACGAAGGGGGGTATCGAATTGGCTCCATGGCACATTCCTTCTTTCCTTGTCTTGGGCTGAGCAGAAGCAGCTGAGTGGGCAAGTCCATGAGACAGCGAGCACGTTGAAAAGACACAACTTGGGTGTTAGGTGCGTCCCTTGATAGGCACGTAGAACCGTGCTTTCCAAATCTTTAAAATCCTATCGAAGGAGAGCGTTCTAGGCAGCGGAGCCGGCCTCTTATGACTGGCCCAGGGCAAGCTTCTCCATAACCACCCGTGGTTAGTTGTGACAGACCGGGCAGGAGTGGCATGCAAAAGTGTTCACAGTAGCTCGTCTCCTCGTCTCGCTGGCTCAGCTCTGCCGGGGGGGAGTGGGGAGCACCTGGCGGCACCCAGGCACTTTGTTCAGCAAGCTTCCACCTTGTGGATCGTGCTCAGGGCCGCATTTCCGAGTCAGGAAAATCTGGATTTTTCCCTTAAGCAGAGGAGGAGTGTGAGGTGGGCAGACAAAAGAAATCCTTTCCGTAGGACAGACAAACGGCCCCGAGAGGGAGCATCCACCTGCCCTCTGCAGCGGTGAGGGCTTCAGATCTGTGCTGCCCTCCGCCAGCCACACGGAGCCCTTGGAATGTGGCTAGTTTGAGGAACTGAATTGTTACTTGTACATCATCTTAGGTAACTGGAACTTAGATAGCCATATGTGGCTAGCGGCTCCTTTGCCGGACAGTGGGGGCTTACCGAGTCTGAAGGAAGCAAGGTCGGGATGCTAGGTGCAGCAGACACTGATGTAAAAGCACCTAAGCAGTGAATGGGAATGGGTGGGCGACCTTCGAGAGCGTGCCCTGCCCTGTGAGCCCAGCACTGTGAGCACAGCACTCGGCGAGGTGGGTTTTCACAGGTCGGATCGTCTGAGTGAGAGGTGCAGGAGCAGTCAGGAGGGCCCGTGTGATGCTGGGTGCAGGGGCCCCACCTCTGCATGTGCTCCCAGGCCAGTGGAACACGTGGGCTGGTGCCTCAGAGCGGGTTGGCGGAAGGACAAGGGGCTATATATAGAAAAAAGGCGGGGCTCCTGGGTGGATCTTGGCGGTCGAACTGTTTGCGAGATCAAGCACCAACTGTTTGCGAGATCAAGCACCGTGTGGGGCTCTGCGCTGACAGCATGGAGCCTGCTTGGGATTCTCTCTCTGCCCCTCCCCCACTCACGCATGCGCGCCCTCTCGCGCTCGCGCGCCCTCTCGCGCTCGCTCACTCAAATTTTAAGAGAAAGAAAGGAGGGAGGGTTCTGGGGACAGAATTCTCTCGCAAAGAGGGCGATCCTTGGGTATGTGACACTTTTGCAGATTGAGATATATTTCAAGTAGAGGTCGGGTTGCCTCAGCTGGACCCGGTCTGGGATGTTCCGGGACAGAAGTGGCCAGTGGGGGGACGCCCACGAGAGGGCGGTGTTTGTGGCTCCAGGTCAGGCAGCGGCCCCTCCCCCACCCCACCCCATCTAGCGGGTGCAGGGGCCCCCTGGGCTGAGGCCTGCACGTGGGAGCCCCGTGCCACATCATCCTGCTTCCAGCCCGGGCTTCCCAGAGGGGCTGCGGTACCAGGGCGACGCGTTCGCTGCCCAGCAGCCCCTCCCATACACGGTACCGTGTGACGAGAGCACTCCGAGGTGTGTGTCCGCTGGGAATTGTGAATTATTCCCCAGGCTACTTGGGGTAGCTTGAAACAGACACTGTCAAGTTTTTTCCGCGTACGTTGAAAATCCATAAGTAGTGGCGATTATGTGAGTTGCCTTTTTAACTTCCCACTCCGGGGGAGGGTTTGGGCAGGGTGTTCTGGGAGAGGACCTCGTAGGAAACCCTCACGGCCCTCCCTTTCCCCCGAGCCTCAGAGACCCAGGGAGCCCCCTTCGTGCAGCCCTGGGCCGTGAGGACACTGGCGGAATGGGGGCAGGGAGGTGCCGGTGAGGGTGGGGGGCGTGCCGGAGGGCAGGCTCTGTCCGACCTCAGTGTCCTGCTTCCGCTCAGTTCACCGCAAAGCAGCTGGAGAAGCTGGCCAGGAAGGCAGAGAAGGACTCCAAGGCGGAACAGGCCAAAGTGAAGAAGGTGAGGCCGCGTCTGTGGTTGTGCTGGCGCCTTCTTTCCGTGTGGGGGGCGCTGCCCGCGACTCTGGCCGCGGCTGTTCTCACAGGAGCCAGCTCGAGGCCTGCGGTGGCTCCGGTCTGCCCCCCGGCCCCCCGAGAGTGTCCAGAGCCAAAGGACCGTGCTTGCCTTGCCTTTGTTTCTTTGACTGTCCGCGCCTTTTATCCACTTCCAAAGTGCTGAATCTGCTTTCTCACAAACCGTGTGGGAGGCGGGCTTCCGGCCACCCCTGCCGTGACCCCTTCCGGCTGTCTTCCTTCCGCACCTGGTGCCTTGGGCCTCAGAACCTGGGCAGCGGTGAGGCAGCCCCTCCGCTGGCGAAGGGCGGGGCTGGCGGTGACCATGCCGCGGAGGGGAAGGTGGGAGGGGTCTGCCAGCTCTCAGGCGGGCCTTTCTAGCAGCCGTTTACAGGTGCAGCAGATCCTGGGGGTGTTGGATTTGGGGGCTCCCAGGGCAGAGGGGAAACTGGACGGCTGGCTCCACTCTGGGTCCTTCGTGTTCCCCCGCGGTCGTGCTTGCTTCGGCACCAGCATGTCCCGCCCCGGTTTCGTGAGAGGGAGCGCAGCGGGAGGAGAGAGGCCGGCCCGGCTCTCCTGCTCAGCCCTCAGTGCGGGCTGGTCTGGCGCCCGGCCTGGACACCCCAGCTCCCGGATAGGCTTGGGGCCTAGCATCTCTGCACTTTCACGAAGCCCGCAGGCGGAAGGGGCTGCCCCACGCTAGCGCATCTCGCCCTCGGCAAAGCCAGGACCAGGTCCCTGAGCAGGGCGGGCAGGGTTCGGACAAACAGCCATGTTCTCCCAGCTGGTGCCTCCCCGACTTTCAGGCCCTTCAGCAGAAGAATGTGGAGTGCGCCCGCGTGTATGCCGAGAACGCTATCCGCAAGAAGAATGAAGGTGTGAACTGGCTCCGCATGGCATCCCGCGTGGACGCGGTGGCCTCCAAGGTGCAGACGGCCGTGACCATGAAGGGGGTGAGTGCTCGTGCCCGGGGTCGCCTGCCACAAGGACCGGCCTCTGCCGGCAGGGCCGGGGGAGCCACGCCAGACCCCTTTGGGCGTGGAGTAGGGATCACTCGACACCATCAGGGCAGCACCAAAGGACAGGACGCGGCGTCCTCAGTCTTCTTCAGTGCCCACGGTCTGGGGACCTGCCAGGAGAGAGCCTTGCAGCCTGTCCTGAACCTGGCTTGGCTGGGCCGGGCCTGGAGTCCTGTGGGCCTTGTGGTGGGGGACTGCGTGCCTGGGGAGGGTGCAGAGGGCCCGTCCTTCCTTTAGTTCTGTCGCCGCCTCACGTTCTCCCGTGCCAGGTGACCAAGAACATGGCGCAGGTGACCAAAGCCCTGGACAGGGCGCTGAGCACCATGGACCTGCAGAAGGTCTCTGCGGTGATGGACAGGTTCGAGCAGCAGGTGCAGAATCTGGACGTGCACACGTCGGTATGTTGCCCGTGGTCTGGGTGTGCAGGGGTGCATCCGGGGGGCGGCTCGTGGTGGGCCACGCGTGTGTTTCCCTAGCAGTGCCCCCTGGCGGGGGGGGGCTCACCTCCAGAGCACCCGAGTCTTGTGGAGGCTGGAGTCGGCACACGGAGGCCTAGCAGAGAAGAGGGAGGCCCAGGGCTAGGGTGTGGGGGCCTCTCCCAGTGATTGGCCAGAGAGGCTGTGTG